GTCATTATAGAGGACGTATAACAGACATAGAATTTTAATACCAATGGAGGAAAAAGCAGGAAAGAAGTAAGGAAAGTCGGTTGCGTTTTGCCTCTTCGGCCAAGTGAAACTCGCGTCGGGTACCGTAAAATCATTAGGATAATCAAGTCCGAGTGAAACCGGCCGAATATCGAGCTTCTCAGCCGGAAGATTGAAAATTCACCAAACGTGTGGAACTTTGCCAACTCTCATAACTCGTCTAAAAATGCGCTAGCGCGCTTACGAAGGCAGGAACCTTCTGTTCTCGATAAATGCAAAATTATTCCTCATCCCTTCCATCTCTTTGTCGCGAATATTTTACAACAAAATCCAAGAAAATAAAAAATTAATATTAAAATTGAATAAAAAGAACGCAAAAAAGGACGAAATATTTAAAAGGGCGTATGCATATATAAACGCGAAAAGTACCTAGGAAGAAGTTTGTCTGTTTAAAAGAAGGTCAGCTTAATGTGATTAAATGTGACATACGACAATTCCAACTTTGCTTATTTACTCTGTCAATCAACGTGAAACGAATTTCGTTATTCGCTTACAGGAGAAGTCCTGCCATTTGCACCGTTTAGATGAGGTATGAACGGAAGTTCGATTCAGAGAACCCAGTTCCGCCTTCGTTCTATCTCGTGCTCGCGCTAATGGTGCCTAACTCAATTCCGAAAGGTCGAAGGTTGGACACGCGACTTGGCGAACTCGTAATTCGACTTTCAAGAGTCTCCCAACTCTATTTCTCGTGGACGAGATATATAGAAGAGACGTTTAAGTAAAAATTATCTTGTCACTGCTGCAAGTTGAAAAGAGAATTGTGCCTTGGTTCTATATGAAGAAAATATTTCAACGGTTTAATTACAATTATTCCACTTTTGATTACAACGTAGAAGATTCGATATCATCAAGTGCATTCAACTATTCAACATTATTAAGTACAAAAAAAATTTGTATTCATCAAAAATATTAATAGAAGTTTTTATTTAAATTCTATGTCCAATTTTTTTCTCTTTTATATATTAAATATATATAAAGAAAATGTAAGAATATAATTATATTCTTGCGATATCACATTTATTTTTTAATGGGTTTTTGAAGGATCATCATCCATCACAATATTTATTTTTACAGACAAATATTTGGAATCTGCCGCCGCAACGATTAACAAAACGCTTTTTCGGAAGCGAATAATCGCGTTTAGAGCATTAAATCTTTGCTAAATGTGGAATTAAAAGATATACAAGGATCAAGTGGGCTAAACACTCGAAAAATCGCAGATGCCACGATGACGGCTTCCGCAGACTAAACACGATAATAAACCCAGCGCGCTTTCAAGACCGCCGGCATTCGCTATCGGTCGAATCCGGAGGGGGAAAAACGAGGGAGTTCTTTTTTCCGGTGGACGATAGCACCGCCTCGGGAAGTTCAATGGGGGATGCGAGAAATCCGGTCGGTTTCCTTTGCAGTAGCCGCCTCTCCTTCCTCTTTTACCCCGCGCGGAACCAACGAGTGGTTAACTCGATTCCGGCAATTTGTGCACTCGTGAGTCTTGCGAGCACTCGATTGCATCCGCAGATAGCAGACCGGATCGCAGATATTCCGTATGTACTCGAGAGTTACAGGCGCGATTGAAAATCGCGTTTCGAAAATCGACAACAGAGACTTTTCAAAGATTTAATAAGTAGTTGAAATTCTTTTACACGCGCGAGTTTAGAAAATATATTCCCATGCTTATATGAACGTGTACAAAAATATTTGGAACATCTTTCATATTTAGTTTTATTATATATTATATATATATATATATATATATATATATATTATTATATATATATATATATATATATATATATATTATATTATATATTTATTATATATATATATATATATATATATATATATATATAATATTTATATTTATATATACATATTTATATTTGAAATTTTAATGTAATATAGTTGCTTATTTCGCTGTCCGGGAGAATGTAAAAATACAAATCTGCATGAACAAATCAAAGATATATTTTAATCAAGGATACTTTAATGGTTTCGCCATTCGATAGCGTCCCTCGATTTTTGCAACATAATATCGTTGCTAACCGATAGCGCGCGGGAAATAATACCTCATTCATGATCGCGCGATATCAAATATGAAACATGTTTCGCGCCGCGTGATTATTTTTCTGCGCACAATAAAATACAATCGATTGGCCTCGTAAACTGAACGCAACTCGATGCATTCGAACAGGATGCATTTGTCGATTTTGTTTTCAATGTTTTATAAAGTCGGCGGTCGACATTCGACCTTTCGACCCACGCTTCTATCAACTGAACACTTCGCGCGAAAAATAGAGATTCTTCGCGTATCCTCGTCGCGATTACACGACAAATCACGAGAATACGGAAAATAGACACGCGATGTGTATAATCGATACATCCGGCGATCGGATCCATTTATTCATCCTCCGTCCGAGGAGAGGCAGGAAGCGACTCAATTCGAGAGATATAATTTTAGATATAGAGACGTACAACCACGCGCGACGCGAACCCGATATACTCCCACACGCTCTCTGTCAGCGATATTTCAACCCCCGCACGAGGTCGCGGCGCACGTCGAATTCACGTCACACGATCATCCCGTTTTACGCGAGATTTGTATTACGGCGTTCGCAAGGAAATGAAAATATCTTCCGCGAAGGAGGAAACCAAATTAACATTCGCGATCGCGATATCTCTCGGTAACACGTGTGGGCGGGAAAAAATTTCCGCCGGATAAAGATATCGCGCAGGAATTATATCGGGATACCTCGCGTTAAATCTCGGACGTGTCGATCGAAGGACACATTTCATCTTTTAAGACACCGGCGCGATCAATTTGACATTTCGATCAATTTTCTCTCCCCGTATATAGTGAACCGTACGATTTTTTTCAATTTTCTCGACATATTACGTACCTTCATAACTAAATCTTCAGGAGTAAAATATCTGAAATAATGAAATAAAACGAAATCTATTTTTTGACATTCGGGAGATATATATATACTCGATATCCATCGCGCGAGAAATTGAGCTCTCCGAAATTAGAGCGGAATTTCAATCGCCGTGTGCGTGCATATGTATGTATGTGTGTGTGTGTGTGAATGGTATCCCGGTGGGATCATAGAACGTTATGGATCCCCTCCACGTGGGTGAGAGTGATAGAGCGAGATAGATTGGGGATCGCAGCGCGCCATTTGCGTCCGTTAACGCGATACTCCGGTCGAATCGAAGAGCAAAGCCCGTGGCAAATTCGCCTTGCAAACCATCGGGACACCGATAGGAGACCCACTTGCGACGACGCACGAGCTGTTGCGAGGACGAGCTAACTCGAGGTGAAGGGATTAAACCATATCCGCGTCCGCAATTATGTCGTGTATCGCTTATACGGCCTTCATCCCTCTCTGCTGTCAATCGAGCGTTTCGATTAACCCTGCACAGGTGTCCTGCGACGAGGAGAGAAAAATTTGCCGATCATTTTAATTGACACATGTGTGTGTTTCACAGAAAAAACAGTATCCTTGAAAGAATGCAAAGATGCCTTGATTCAAGTATATTTTATCCTTATAATAGCGCCAAATATAAATAATTTTGGATAAAGGATGATTTATCCTTAAAACAAAGTGCAAAATATTCTTGGTTGAAGCTGAAATTTATTTATAAATATTGCAAGGACAAGTGACAAGTGTGCATCGGATATAAGCGGTACCTTCAAATATATATAATAATTCTTAGTTCAAATGTGACTAAGTTTGTTTTTACCATATGCGATTTTTAAAACAAGAATATATCTTAAGGATAAAATATACTTCACACAAACTTATTTATTATTAAGGCAAATGAAATTTTTGATTACAAAGAGCATTCTATGCTCAAATCAATCAAATAGCGTTCAAGAATAAAAATATACTTGAATCAAGGATTCCTTTTTTTCTGTGTTGTTAAGAAAATAATTACTGATATTTTAACGACGAAAAAAAGAACGACTGACAAGTTGATCCCGTCAAAATCGAGTGAAAATTAATCGTCCAACCTGTCAAACAAGAGCACCCAACGGAAGCAAGACTGATCGTCGGATGAATCTCGGCGAGATTGTTCCTTATTATTTCGCCATGATGTATAAACTCCCTGTCAATTTAGGGATTAACTTTCGACGCCCTCGCCTTCCGAGTCAGCATTTCCGGGGTTGAAATCCCGACTCGTGATAAGAAGGGTGAGAATTCGTGGACCCCCTTTGAGGAAGAAAAGGAAGGAAGGCGATAGGAACGAGTTAATCGTCGGTCGGAAAACAAAGCCGAAAGAGTGTTAAGGTTTCTCGCTCTGGAAACTCGTGCCAGTCGCCATCTCACCTTCTGAGTTTCTTCTCTCGCTATTTCAACCCCCGATTCTCTCCGCGATCTCGCTACCCTTTCCTTTATTCGCTAATTGTTTTCCAGCGCTGTCGTAAACAAGTCGCCGTTCCTAAAGAGCCTCGTAAAACAACGCGTAGAAACGCGAAACCCCGTTTGTAACGAGCTGACCTATTTTTAGTCACAACTCTCGCGACTAATTATCCTTCAAACTCGCAAAAGCGAGGGAAATGGCGGCGGTCTTAATTCTCAAACGGTGCATAATTTATAACATCGCGGTAGAATTGAGATTTTATCGAACGTAAAATTCATCGCGGCGTATCTCCTCAATTTTCAATAACTCACGGTGCTAAAAAACCGTACGGTATCCGATGCTCGCTTTCTAATAATTTGCGATAACACGTTTTTCGTACCTTTCGTGCTATTTTATATGCGCAAGTTGAGTAACAATTGCAAATATATACGCCATATACGTTGCGTTTAATAATGCGCGATATATTTTATTAAAAAAAAGAAAGAAAAATATATTTCTTTTTCTTTCCGCGTCGCGTGTTATTCTTCTTTTTCTAACTGACATTTTTCTTATCACGGCAGATGTTGGACGTCAAGGAGGGTGGGAGAGGGGTGTTCGTCTGCAGCAGCCCCGGTCCTGATCCTTACACATCGCAGGATCTCTATAATCCTGTCTACGAGGAGCTCAGCAACGGTAAGTGCCGATAATCGATGTTTACTTTGGACGGCTTCGCCCGAGCGTCTCCTTTTACTGTGCCGCGATCTTTTTACGGAGAACATCGCACTGGAGAATCTCGAGAACAACAATGGGACGGTGGAAAAAGGAAAGAGTTAAAAATATTTCATTAAAAGATTTAATTTCAGAGAGAGAAAAAGAAATAACTCTCGAATTGGACGCGAATTTGACAAATCTTTTCCTTTTTTCAAGACTGAAAAAAAAAATGGGATATATATCTTTACTTAAAGTTCCTTCGGCAGATAATCTTTCAGCGAGATAATGTGATTACGGCTGGTGAAAAGAGGAAACAAATAAAAATATAAATGAATCTTATAAGCGCAAGCAAAACTAAAACGAAAGAAACAAAATCGTCTTAGTTCAATCTCAAGCTAGGCTAATCTATTCGGCTGAGAAATTGTCATATAGTTGAAAAAAAATCCTTCCGAGATCGTCGAGATATCCCCGTCGTCTTCTCGGCGACGCGTTGTAAAACGACGTGTTCACACGCAGACGCAAATCACGCACTCTCCTTCTAGATGAGACTCGCCTCTGAAGACGCAAGGGAGGTATCCTCGGGATCGAACATGCCCGCGCAAAACGCATAGGTATGGCACACGAGTATATACGAGAGAGTTTTCAACACGGTGTGTCCGTCTGTCGGTTGGCTTAACACACGATTAACATACGGCTGCGTTGAATCCCGCCGACTAACGCGCGCTTGCGAGACTTCCACGTTGCTTCTTCTCTCTCTTCTCTCTTTCTCTCTCTCTCCGATCCTGGTACTGCGAGACTGCATTTATCAGAATAATCCGGCAGATTCGCGCATGTCGCGATTTACGGAAAGATCTACGGTACGGGAGATTTACGGGGCAAAAAGAATCGACGGAACTTTTTTAAAGGCATTCCAAGTGAAAATCTGCGTGTCGCGAAAGTACACTTTACGAATGTAAGATTCCGCGTGGTTCAATGAGTTTGCGCGGTATTGAAAATGTGCGAAAAAGAAAGAGAGGAGAGGATTTATGGTGACATTACGAATCTCGTGAGATTACAAAAGAATCTCGAATTTTTGTTGAACAAAAAATGAGTAAGAATGTTTGCGGACGAGAAAACACGGACTCTCTCGCGATTCGGATATATGTATAAGTCCTTAAATTATAGAAAAGTCACGGTGAGAGAAAAAATTTCTATCTATATATCATTTGTAGAAATGAAATCTACGGAGTTGAAGCGTTCCTCAAGCGTCCATTAAAAATTTATAGAAACAGATATCTAAGCAGCTTCTAAAAATATATGCTCGAGAATATACGAAATTTAGGAATCCATAAGATTCTTAAATTTGTAAAATACAATCTACGATATAAAAACAAATACACAATGAACAGCAAAGCCAATTCAACTCTCTCAAAGATCTTGTAAATGTATAATCAGTCTAAACTCGTTACAGGAAACGAGATTTTGATAAATGCAATTTTACATTGTGTCTTCTCGCCTGTTTCTCTCCCATAATCTCGTCACTATCATTCCTTCTCTCTCTCTCTCTCTCTCTCTCTCTTCATCGCTCTCTCTTTCTTCTCCCGTAGTGTTCCCGCTCTTCTGTGCCGTCGTGTATTTTACCGAAGGGAGATAAGCGTGACACGACCTCTGACTTATACTTCCCATTAGTTGAACGGCTAATTAGTATGGTGATGAGGCTTTCGACGTTTGACGAGGACCCGGTAATCGAATATACATGCTGCACCGCGTGCATTAGTCGTAACCACGAGCCCGGCCCGCGTGTGTATGTATACGCTATGTATGCGTCGTCGTTCTCCAGTTTCGAGACGAGGGCGAACATCGATCTCGAAGGGGGTGGTCCTGTCCCTCGCGGGCTTGCAAAAACGCTAGGGAATTCAACGGATCGGATTCGCTCGACGATCACGTCGACGAGGAGAGGATAACCCGCGTTCGCGGAATTGAGCAAATTGAACCTGTGTGTCAAAATGAAATTTTCTCTACTCTTTAACAGACTCATTCGCGGAGAAATTATTTTTAAGTTACATTTTTTCCATTATGTATAATTACTTATTAATAATAACGATACACAATAACCATTTATTATAGCTCGCAATTTTTAAATCAGTTTCGTGGATTTAATGTAATAATATATTATTTTTGTAGAATAATTTGTAATCTCTGAAATTGCAAAGTAATGTTTAAAAGTACTAGAATACATATAATGTTTTTTTCTTTTATGTATAATTATATTATATAAGAGCACAAAGAAAGAATTTTCTCTTGGAATTTAACGTTGAAAATCATGGTAATTGGGAGACAATATGGTATTGGAAAAAGTTTATCAGAATTTCTTTGATTAATTAATATTTACACAATAAAAAATGTTAATATCTTATACCATAATGAGATATAACATATGTTCGATTAATTTCACTATGTATGTACATATTAATATTTTTTATTGTGGTAAATACCAATCAGAGAAATTCTTATAAAATGTTTTCAATACCAATATTGTTTCATGGATGACTATAATTTTCAGGGTAAATTCTAAAAAAAAATTCGGTCCGTGAATAATTATACATGATAAAAAAATATATGGGCAAATATATATATATATATATATATGTATGTATGTATGTATATATATGTATGTATGTATGTATATATATTTGTATTTTTTTTTAAATCGCTTTGCAACTTCAAAGGCTGAAAATTATTTCACAAAAACAAAAGATATATTACATTTCATACATTCATAGACGGAATTGACCTACATTTGAAAATTGAGTTGTAATAAACAATTGTTGTGTACGGTTATTATATATATAAATATATTTGATCGAAACACAGTTCAAGCTATTGTTGGCTAATAACATATCGCGTTATTTACTCGGAAATCCAATGACGGAAATTGAAAATCGGTACATATCTCGATCGGAATCGACTTGTTAACGGATCATCCTCCTATTATATCCCTCCGTGGAAACACGAAGGATATTTCGAGAGGACACTCGCCGTCAGATGACGGAGAAGGAGGCTATCTCGAGCGATTTAATGGCCAACGGAACGCGGACTTAATGTCCGAGAGCCAGTCGATAACACCTTCAATTTGTTCGGGAACAGTTCGGGGACTTCTTTTCTTCTACTCGCGTTTCATCGATTTACGTCTTCTTCGTCGGCGGGGAATAAAAAAATTAATCGAACAGCGTTCGTTCAATTTTTCGCGAAACCGATTTCGCGATCACAAGCGCGCGCGACATTTCGGTATTTTCGGGGTTTTTTTTTTGCGCCACGATTATTCGTACGACATTCCCCAATTTTTTTAGCCCTCGTACACGCCCCGCTGTGTCGTTAGTATCGATCGCGGCCGAACGCTCGTGTTCGACGGAATAACGCGAGGCAATTAACGGAGGAGCGAGACGAGAGACCGCTCGCGTTACCGAATTGACGAGAGCGAAATTCCTGGGCGAAACCGAATTCTCTCGGCTCTACGCCGAAATATCGGCCGAAATGGACCGTGGGTTATTCCGGCGATTTAACGGCAAAATCCGCCAATCGTTCAAGACGCACTTTTTCGGTTTTAAATGAGATTTGAACTCGATACGATCTCCGGCTTGTTCCCCGCAAACGAAGCCGAGTCTCCTCTTCCCACGATTGATTGAAGGAAATAATTCTATTCTAGACACAATTGTGTTTTTAATGTGGAATGATACTGCAATCGCAGCCCGCATGAGATTATATGTGAGGGGCATCTTTAAAAAAAAAATTCAATTTCTCTGTCACAGTTACGAAATTGATTAAAAATTTTCAAAATTCTATAAATTATTTTTTAACAAAAATAAAGGATGATAAAGGAAGAAAGGCGTATAAAGAAAAATTCGTCTTTTATCTAAGAAATTTGTATGTATAAATTTAATGAAACATTTTGATATTTCTTAAACACATTTTCTTGATCAATTTCGTGAGTCATATCGAATAATCCGCACACATCCCGCAGTCTTCTCATTTTGCTAAACAATTTATCTCCTCGGGAAGATTCTAATTACCCGCCTGATTAATTCTCATCGCGCGTTGCCGCGAAGAATACTCTAGTTTCTCAGCGTCCAATTAATCCTGCCCGATTGTCGGACAGATTTTATTCGCGATTAATTGCCTTTCATCCTCGTCTTTTGCCCGTGTCTCATCGCCAAGTAAGTAAATCCTTTGTACTCCGCAGGGGACCATCCGGAGACCGACGAGGAGAGCGAGCTGAACGCCCGCAACCGTCTACACCATCATCATCATCACCATCGTCACCATCATCGCGCGTCCAACGCGTCGAAACCGGCGAGCGAGGACGAATTCGCCGAGGACGAGCTGTCGGTCGGAGAACCGTCCGAGGCGAGGATGCTCACCTCGAGCGGAGGTCCCGCCTGGGGCACCTGTCCCGCAGGAGGCAGACAACCACGTGAGCGACGCGGCCGCAGCCCCAGGAGTCTCGACCGACGTAGACGGGACAAAAATCACGACGTGGGCGAGTTCCACGAAGGCATGCTGCTGGACGCGCTGCTCCAACTCTATCCTAACGTCGCGGGTAAACAGATAATTAAACCGTAATGATGTTCTAGCGAAGAGGTACGAGATGATTAGAGAGATTTTAGACATTTTCGGGAGATGTTTCTCGAAGGTAGTAAAGTAATATCGCTTGGAAGATTTCGTAATTGCGAGACGTTAAACTAACAACGATATTTGCTCATCCTCGCGTTGTAGATTTATACCGATTTATTATTGATCGACGACACGTAGTCTCTGCAGACTCCTATATCGATGTTGCTCTTTTTTGTTGGATTTTTTTTGGAACAATCGTATTTCCATACTTATTTCTCTTTACTGTTTACGTTTATTCCCTGTGTGCTATTTCCGTACAATTTCTACATGAATACTTTGATTCGGAATTTACTGAGATCCATTGCAACACAATCTATGTATAAACCTTGCCATTTATTTCTTCAAGAAACTGAATTATTGATTTTGTATCAAAACTTTCTGGATTAACTTTTCTCGTTATTCTTGTCTTCCGATTTTAATTTCGAATAAGTATCGATTTTTATCTTGACTTGCTATCTCGACTATCTATTTTAATCTTTACCTCTACTATCTAATTTTGGATTAATGTCTAGAATAGCGACAAAGTTAATTAAGAAAGTTTCAATACGCATTTATCCATAATTCAATCTCATGAAGAAAAAAATGAGATTTTTCTCATAGAATTTATCCCGAAAATCATGGTAACCATGGGACAATATGATATTGGAAGAATTTTATAAGACTTTTTCTGATTAATATTAACCACAATAAAAAATATATTAATATGTTAATAGTAAAATTAATTGAAAATTTTAATAGCTTATTGTGATAGATATTATTCTTTATTGTGGTAAATATTAATCAGAGAAACTCATAAAATTCTTCCCATATCATATATTGTCCCACGATTACCATGATTTTCAGCGTAGATAACAGAAAATTCTCTCTGTGTACAAATATATCGCAATGAATCTCAGTAAATGATATATATAACTAAATGTAAAAATTTTTAAACTCTGACTAATTCGAGTCTCCGCTTCCAGGTGTGGCCGGTGCCCGAACAGGCAACAGCATCACTCAACGTCAACAGTCCGTCCCGTCGGTCGCGCACAGGTTACCATACTTTGTGCCGCCTTTGCCGGCCGCACAAGCCCCGCGGCTCGAGGAGAATCCTTACGAGAGCGTACCGGTGCTGGGGCCGCTGCATCGTTACTCGAGTCAGAACAGAAGTGGGAAGGAGCGCTCAAACCGCAGCGTCAAGTCGTCCAGCAGCGACAAGTACAAGTACCTGTCGTCATCGCAGCAACAACAGCAGCAGCAATACAGCGGCGATTATTACGGTCTGCAGAGTCAATCCGACGTCACGACGCCGCTCTACACCCAGGTAGGCGGCGAGTACTCGGACACGTATTCGCAGCCGACCGACCGGCTCTTCGACGACAAATACAGCCAGCCGGTGTATTACACTACTAATTCGACCCGGGACGCAACGTGCGATCAGGTGACCCCTTCTGGTAGACTGTACCAGGGTCAACCTGACAGCAGCTTCGGCAGCGATAGCGGCTACAGCCATCACACCTCCGGCACCACCGGTACCAACGGCACCCGCGGCAGTAACTCGCGGACGAATCATCGCAGGGACAAGCACCGAAACTCCCATCATTCGCATCACTCCGCGGACTACATTATGTCCTAATGGAGGACCGACCTCCTCGAAATATATTCTCGTTAAGAAAAAAAGAGCGAGAGAGAGACTAGGGTCTCGTTTCTATCACCGGCCACTATGGATTGACGAGCACGTTTGTTAATGGAGAGAGCGGCTGACGCCGATTCGGCTGTGCTAAACTGCTGTATTTTAATACTTCGACGTCCACGGTTAAGAGTCAATAAGGATAGCCTGGTTGCTACGGCTGATCGAGTCGTGATGATCGTGACTTGCAGACTTGATTCGATCGTCGGAGCGACGAGGAAATTCGCGAGCAAGTGACAAGATTAGGATGAGAGGAACGCAGTGATCTCTTAGTGATTTATATACATATAGCCGATACGCAAGACTATCTAACAAATTTATTTGTAATCCAAGACTCAGGCTGGTACCAAAGGACGCTAACAATTACTTCTATCTTTTTAGTCTAATCGTTTGTAATTTATATGTAGAGAGAAATAAGAGTGCGTTAATCGGAACGAGTTGATCTCGTCCTCGTCGTCACCCGCAAATTGTGCGACTACCAATCGCAAAGAATTACGAAGTAGCAATGTCACTTTAGACGATCAGTCCTATTGCTCTTTCAAACGATCCGCAACAGACAATTTTGCAAATAAACGAAAGCGCGAAGTACTCAGAATCTGACATCCCCCTATAAAAATATTGAAACAGAACATTGATAAATAAATATTTAAAATAGTATATATAAGTTGAAATAGTATTAATATATAGATAAATAATACCACGCTAAAGTCAACCAAATTTGAAATACGCATCTCTCAAGAATAAAATTTTTATTTAAATGATTTTAAACCTATTTTAGAACTTTTATTTATATTAGTATTATAGTATTTTAAAACTATATTTTAAGTTAGAAAATCGACGAGAGAAAAAAAATAACAATTTTAACTTATAATTTTCTTAATTCTGATTATAGCATTTTTATATAAAATTCACATATTATATTGCTAAACTAAATACAAAATTGAATTGCGCAGATTGTGGATCAAGCGGGTGTCGATTATGGGTGCTTCTCGCGGTCAGATTAACCGATCCACTGCCAGTCCTATCCTAAACGACCGGGCCTGTTCACCCGGCCGACAAGTTTCATACAAACTTTGATACGACGAAACCTATAATTAAATTTCCGAGACCCCCGTTCGGAGGAGCGGATTCGATCGCATGCACGGCAGGCGACATTAGACGATACTATGCGATCATGCCGCGTTTCTAGTCCGATAATAATCACTTTTCGTACTAGCTTAAAAAGCCTCGTCTATACACACATGCCAATAAAATTCTCGAGATATATGATAAATGCACACACACGCAAAACACCAAGTCCTTTGACTATACTGTAATCGTTGAAAAAAGGAAAAACGATATGTGCACGTTGGAAGCTGATCAGTCCAAAAGATTAGGACACCAGTTTTATAAAAAATATTAATTTTCAAAAAGACAATTTAATTTTAATTATACACGTCAATGTAATTATAGACATTATGTAATATGGAAATAAACGACATTTCGAATTCAAAGTCCAGTACCAAACAATGCCTTGTACTTAAAAAGTTTAATATTTCATACGCGCGATCTATCGATAGAAATGATTTAATAACAATAAATATATTTTTTTTCAACATTTCATATTTTTTATATATTGTTGTCATCAGTTTGTAAAAAAATATACAATTCCGATAGAAAACATTTCGCAATTATCTAACTGCAATGTGTATTATTAATGATCTATCCGGCCAAGCAAATTAGTAATAATAAATTGATTCACCCTCAATGTTCTTAAATAGAAAATTCTCTTTTCTACGACAATATTGTATAATATATAGAGTAATAGGTTGATGGAAGAGTATCCAAGAATAATCCTCAAACGAATATCATTTAGACTCCAACGTGCATAAAACATGTCGGAGATTATAATTGCCACACACATGACTAGCACATAACTAGAACACCATTACACTAAATAATCATATTCGCGTTTTTACAGCCAGAGATCTCAGGCGTCGCGCGCGAGCCTTTTATTTTTGTAATTTTTAAAAGCATTACGAAAACGTAAAATTGTATAGGCCGCTGGATAAAAAGGAAAAGAGAGGGAGAGAGAATAGAAAGCTGTGGAAAAATGTATCCCCCAAGAAAGTGAAGGTTTTCTCGATGAAGTCTTGATTCGCGCAGCGTCCGATTTTGACATCGAAAACCACTGACGACCATAAAAATCCTCTTTTCACAGTTCGACCTCTTTCGAAACGCGAATCGCTTTCTCGTGGAAGCAATCGCGCTTCGCTGACGAAGTCGACATTGTTGTCGTTAATAACGTAACGGAAGCCGCGTCATGGAAAATTCATGAGCCGAAATCATGGTACGCTCGCAACCCTATACTCTATTACGAATCAGCCGGCCGTTTGGCGAACGCCGGCTTTATTGCGGACAAAGGCCCGCGTGCGAATGGCGCAAATTACCCGCGTGCATTATTAAGCATACTATTATCGCGATCAGTTGCATTATTATGTATACGAGCGTCGATCAATGACCTTCGATCGGTAGTCGCACGAATTCGCGGGACGCTTTGATTGTTACAAGCCAGCGTTAATTTGTTCCTCAGGATGTTACTTTGTCCCGCTGTAGAAAAAAAAAGAATAGAATGTCAATAATGGATTGGATTTAATTATTTTTGACAATATCGGACCATTTAATTACATATGTATCTTTACTTTGTTGTAACATAATTTTACATTCTTCCATTTATTACACGTCAGAATGTAATTTTATGCCGAGAACAAAATATCTAATAATAAATTACAGAGCACTCTAAACTAGTCGACGTTAGATTTAATAAGAACTTAAAATAAAAAATTATATAATGTAGAGATATCGATAGTTTTTATACAACGAAACAAAGTGACAGAAACCCGGGGTGCAAAATTATTCGAATTTTCGATATATAGCGAGATAAGAGCGTTCAGGCGATACAAGAGAGTGAGAGGGAAAAGTGTTCGAGGGATGTACAGGCGCACGTTAGTACACCGTATAAATACCGCTATCACCTTATACATACCGCACGTGTAAGAAAGTAAACGGCGAGCCATGTAAATAGATAGCCGGGAGGAAGAGTGAAAATCCACCCGTGTGTAGTATAGTTGTACTATAACGATATCGTTACTGAGATCTTTTCCCGTGCGTTGTGCGTGCAAAAACGAGAGAGAACAGAAATTTAATATATACATAAAAAACTATATATAGAGAAAAAGGAGAGAGAGAGAGAGGGAGAGAAAGAGACGCGAAGAAAAGAGATTATAAAAAAGTACGATAGAAATATAATTTTTAAATTATTTGTAATGGCAAGCGCGCGCGCGCGTCGCAATCACGGCAAACGCGACAAAGACAGGAAAAGGAGGAGAATTCATTGTATCTTTCCCCCTTTTCAGAGCGAGAGGGTCGAAGGACGAAGAAGATAAGAAAAAAAATCCCTCGCGATCCTCCCTCTCGCTCCTCGATATAGTGCACGCTCTCTTTTTAGACGCGCCTAGACGCGAATACCTCAACACAAAAAAAAAAATAATCACTCTGTTGTAAATATAATTTTATATGTACGAGCGAGGAGAGATTAGGGTAGTTTGCGCGATCGACATAGCGGGGCCGGTCCAAGACATTGAAACTGCGAAACCCAAACTAGTGAAAAAGAGTAGACTTATAATTCTCATTCGACGAACGCGCAGTTTCTATTTAATCTCCTTACAAAGTTAAATAAACGCGATTTAATCTTGAGAAAACTTTAAGATAACAATTGCACTCTAAAACATGTAAAATTTTCATGATACAAATTAAAATCTTTAGTACTTTTAATTATTCCTTAATTATTTGATTATAAAAATCTGTATTTAACAAAATGTAAAGATTACATATAAAATATAAAAGCATTATTGAAAATATTCAAAAACAGAATGCCCGGCCCTGTGGTGCAGCTCCGAAATAATATCCCAATGCTAATAATAATTCACTCGTGTGAATCGAAACGAAGCGAGGCAACAATCGCCTATGTTTTTATATGAGAAAATTGATTTGCACGAGTTTATATTGCACGACAAAGAAATTTGTTAATCGCGCAACATTACCGTAAAGTTATGCTAATGTAACGCTCTTGAAAGTCATGCTGTCGATTATTCGCTTAAATTATTCTAAACATATAGCAATAATGTATAGAATATTTTCGCTCCTTCAAATTTATTTTTGTTATTACATCTTGAGTTAGACTGAATTGCACAAGTATCTGCGTATCAATTTAAGGATAATTAAGACGACGTTTTATCAGTTTATCACTGATTATTTTCTTCCATTGTTTCGCGTCTATGGTCTTGACAGATTACAGAAGATTCTGTAGAGAAGTTAAATTAATCAGAAAAGCATGAAATAGTTGAATAATTTCGTACTGATTTAATTAAGTAAAGAACGTTGTTTCTTTCGTCGACAAACTACGAGCAACTTATCAGTAAAATATTATTTAATTAATAAGTTAAGAGACGATAACGAATCGTACTGTGAAGAGACTTCGTAAATTACATAATAAGTTTATTCGGAATCCTTCGAACATGTTCTAATGGTTCGCGTCAGGAGCGAAATTTTTAATTGATTAATTAGTCCAATTCCTGAAATTATAAGCTAAGGCAGCTCTCATCGTTCCTCAGGAAGTATAATATTATAGCCGAATAAAATAAAATTAAAATTGCGAGAGCATGACTGACTAGGGCGCGAGAATGAAGAGGGAAGAATGAATATGTACGTATGTACTTATCACGACGAGAATCATCAAAAAGAAACATTGCATACAATCAAAGAATGCGCACAACGTGAAAATGTAAGACGATACGGAGATCGAGATAGATCGGAAAGGAAATTGTAGAACGAGAACGAGAAAGGGAAAAAGAGAGACACGGAAAAAAAGAGAAACAAAATCGAGGAAACGAGAGGCAGAATTACACGCTTTCATATCTTATTACGTCCATGTTGATTGAATGTTTCGCGATGTTGTTTTTTATTTTATTCTTGTGCATAGCTTGTATGATATGTATGCTGAAAGTTTAAGTTATTATTGTTTTTATTTAAACGAACGGGGAGAAAAGTCTCTCTCGATCAAATTCGCGGATCTTCCTTACAAAGATCGCGATATTAATTGTTGCATATCGAGTGTAATGAGCGAGTGAGCAAAGTGTACGCGAGATGGGCCATGAATGATCGAAAAGTATCGTGTATTGAAGAAAATAAGGTGGATATTAGATTATTCATTTATTCGCTATTTTATTTGCACATACCGACACATAAAATAGATATCTGAATTGTTGAAATAATATCCGCCAATAATTGATTAAAATTATCTTATCCGTTTATGAAAAATTAGATTTATTCAAATTTCAAAAACGTTGCATAAAATTATGGATAATGTATAATAATTTACTTGTGAAAATCACGGTATGAAATTCAATATATGTATACTTTATCTGATAAATTTGTATATAAAAGCACGAACTGCTGGATCACGCATAGACCGTTTAGCGCGCTATACTTTATTTGTAAAATCGTTATTTTTCGTTCACCGTCTCGACACATTTTTTATTGTTCTCCCGTACCACGTGCGCAAAGAGAGCTCTTGCAGAGCAGAAACATGAGTGAGAAAGAATTGAAGAGATAGAGTGAAAGAGAAAAAAAGAGAAATAAAAAGATAATGTATGAACGAAAGTTAGAGGTAGAAAGAACGTTTCCTTATACCTTTTCAAACGCGTATACGAGTCGCGAAGTTATTATTATTTATTGTTGCGTTTTG